TCTCGCGTGCTCGCGATTCACTTAGAAATCGCGCTATCGCTCGAGCCTCCTCGCGATTCCCTTCTCCTGTTTTAGGGGCTGCGCCGGATGAACTTGGCAGGTAAGGAAGACATGCCCCAAAGGAGGTACGATCGAATATGAAGAGGGGGCACCGAGGGAATGACAGGCGAGCAGATTGGAGCGAACAGCTAAAACAAGTGTGTTGTTGCTGTTGTTGTTGCTTGTGGTGTTGTTGTTATTGCCACTGTTGTTGTTGTTGTTGATGCTGTTGTGTTGTTGTTGTTGATGTTGCTGTTGCTGTTGTTGTTGTTGAACATTATTACTTCTAAAGAATAATTATTGTTGGGGCCCCTGGTGCGCGGCCCCCCCGCCGCGCCTAGGCCGCAACCACATTTTCATCATTTTCGTGAGGAAGTCTCAGGCAAAACGGGTTGGTCCGGATCCGGTTGTTTTGTTACGGCCCGCTTTCCCTTGCAAGAAATAAGCTAAAGTGGACATTTCTTGTTCTAACATAACCAAACTTCAAGAATCCCTTGCAAAAAATAAGGTAAAGTGGACATTCGCGCGCGCAAGACGAAATCCTTCCAAAACCTTAGTTTTCGTAGCGATTTTAACATAAAAACATCAAAAAACCAATGGTTTTTCAAAAAAAATTGTCAAAATTTCATCCCGCGCGCTCTTGCGGATTCGTAGGAAACCCAACACTTTTTAAACATTTCTGTCAAACGGGCTTTTGCGAGCAACTTTTTCGAACTTCTGCGACAACGGTTGCGCACCTGCCAGGGCCATCATCCCTGTCAAATAATACCATGCGGGACACATTCGTTTTTTCTTCGCGCGCGCACGCCGTCGTCGTCGGCCGCGGGGCCCTGAATAGTAGCCACGGTCGTCCGCATGCCACGAAGTGAAGTGTCCGAACGTCATAGGGCGGGAAGCTGGGTGTGGGTGGTGGCGAAGAGTCGTTTGGAAATTTGGTAGAGCTTGAACCGGCCCCCCCACAAAGTGGGGGTATTGCCCGCCTCCTATGAAAACCCTGGCACTGGTGAGAACGGAGTGTCCCCACGTGCTAGTAATTGTTGTTGTTGTTGTTGTTGTTGTTGTTGTTGTTGTTGTTTTTGTTTTTGTTGTTGTTGGTTTGGTTTTGTTGTTGGTTTTGTTGCCGCTGTTGTTGTTGTTGCTGTTGTTGGTGTTGTTGTTGCTGCTGTTGTTGCTGTCTGTGTTGTTGTTATTATGTGTGTTGCTGTTGTTGTGTTTGGTGTTGTTATTATTGTTGTTGTTGTTGCTGTTGCGGATGTTGTTGTTGGTGTTGGTGGTGTTGGTGATGGTGTTTGTTGTTGGTGTTGCCATCGGCGTTTTGGTTCTTTCGTTTTCGTCGGTTGTTGTCGTGGTCGCCGTCGCCGTCGCGCCCCCCTCCCCCTTGAAGCCCCCGCAATTCCCGAGCACTCATTCCGACAGCGGTCCCTGATCGTTTTGGACAGGACTTGTTGCCCGTCCCGGGGCGAAAGTGGGCCGTTTTGCTGCGAACGTCGTCTGCCCAATACAGTCGGTGCTCCTCTCGGACAGCATCTGCTGTTGGGCAGCATCCCCGTTGATGCTGTCCCCATTGGTGGCGCGTGCCGGTCACCTGTCCTGGTTGTTGCCCGCCTCTGGTCCTGTCCTGTCTCGGCCGTTTCTTCTGTCCTGTCCCCTTCTCCCTGCATTGTGGCACGATTCGCTACAACGGTGCCCCCGTTTAGTGAGCTCTCTGCCAGCGCAGTTCCTATGCCTAGCCGCCGACGCAAACAAACTGTACTGGTCGTTGCCCGCCTCCCTGGCCCTCCTAGAGAAGCCCACGGAACCCCGGAGTGCTTTCCTCCCCCCCGTGCTCGTCGTGCCCTCCTGGCTTCTTCCGCGACGACACTGGGAACATCGAAAACGACGGAATCATGAAGCCCGCGAGTCGAAAAAGAACAACCGCCATGAACATAAACTTTTGGCGCTCCGCGCGGATTTCTCGGATCCGCGCCGGGCTCCTCCGGCGGCGCCTCCGGCGCCGCCCCATGGCGCGCTCCGATCCAAGAAAACCGCTCGGAGCGCCAACAAGTTATGTTTATGGCCTTCTCCCTCTAGCGAGCTCCTGCGCACCATGACTGCAAATTATCCCAGCGCGACCCTACCTAGGAGTTGGAACCCCTAGGAAAGCAGCATTCGTAGTAGCAGTAACGCTAAGCTAAAGCTAAGCTACAGCTAAGCTACAGCTAAGCTAAAGCTAAGCTAAAGCTAAGCTAAAGCTAAGCCACAGCTAAGCTAAACTGCGACGACAAGGAATGGTTACACATCGCAGCAGACCGTCGGTCATGGGTGGCGCTGAGGGTGGATTCTCGGATTCCGTCGGGCCTGTCCCTCTACAGGACGAAGATCCAACCACAGTTCAAAACATAGCCTGGGAACGATGTTTTGACTATGCTTGACTAGTCTGGGGTACCGCTCGACAGTTTTCCTTTTTCGTCCAAAGCTTGTCGGTAGGAGGACAGGCCTGACCTGATTCTTGCATCGTGCGAAAGACACCTCGCACTGACAGGGTGCCTTGGTAGGGCCGTCCGCCAGGGTGGTGTTGGTCGGCGCCTCGCCTCGCTTCTCCTCGCCCTGCACGGTGAAGGGAGGTCCAGGGTACCCCTTAGGCGATGCTTAAGAAAACTTAAGTTTTCGGCCATAGTCTCGATTATTCTTAACGTCTCAATGTAAATCTTAAGATTTTGATGGAAATGTTGGGTTTTTATTCAAGTTCTGAGACTATGAATTTCTTAACCCATGATTTCTTAAGCATTTCGCAGGGGGTACCCTGCTTGCCTCCAGGGTGCCCTGGCTTTCTCGGGCTTCGATGGTCTCGCTGTGGAAGGCGTGCCGTTCCCACACCAAAAAGCCATGGACGTCCTGGGGTCTCAGGGTCGGGTTTCCTGTGGAAGGTCTCTTGTGGACTGGCCTCCACCGTACGCTTCTTAGACCAGCCAGGGAAGCGCTCCAGCTCGAGGTGTCCGTTGCGCCATCAAGCGTAGTCCCAGCATGCTGTACGAGTCACAGCTGCAGAAGATGGAGTGGCGCAGCTGGCTGCAGGGAGGCACCGGCGAGGAGTGCAGCGGAGGCGTTGGTGATGACAACAGTGGAGGAGTGGCCCGGCGGCCAGCATCTGCGGCTCGGTCCGTGTGGTGGAGTGGCGGCAGTTCCAGGAGTCGAGGACGCCGGGGAAATGAGAAGGAGAATGCCTTCTCAGGAGGCGGCGGGACTTCTCAGAAGGCCTCGGACCTTCTGAGAGGTTTTCTGCGTCTTCTTGGTAGGCTTGACACTTTTCAGAAGGCCCGGGGATCTCCTGGCCCTTGGAGGAGGCCCGCCCCTTCTCGTTTCCCCTTTGGGCGCGCCGCCCATCTCCTCCTCCTCCCCGCTTCCGATCACTCGTCGCCTTCCACTGGGGGCTGGCCTTTGTCACCCCGGCCAGGTTGTTCTAAACCTTCTTTGTGCGGGCCTCGATGTTGCATCCGTAGCGCCGCGCGTCTCCTCTCCTCTCTTTCCCCCCCTCCCCGCCTCCTCCCTTCCCCTCGTCTTCCTCGTCGCTCTCCTCCTCCCTCCTCTTGCTGTCGCTGCCGATCTTTCTTTTTCCGCGCTCCAGTCCTGCAGGCGCAGAGGAGGGCAGGACATATCCTTCGCTGCACGTGCCGTTCATGGCCGGGCCCGCGTCCTTCTCGCCATGAAGGCTGAGAGACGGGATCCGGGTGGAGTGCGCGGAGGAGGAAGGAGGAGGAGGAGGAGGAAGGAGGAGGAGGAGGAGGAGGGTGCGCGAGCTCGTCGTTCGCTGCTTTTCCCTTCTCCCCTCCCGTCGCTGCTGCTGCTTCTGCTGCGCTCCCTTCGGCGCACTCCTCGCGCGGACCTGCGGCCCCACAGGGAGCTCCACCAGTGGCGTCGCCATGAGGTGTTCGCATGGCGTCCCCGCGCCCCTTGCGGCGCATCCCTCGCGCGGATCGTGATCCACGGTCACTACGTCAAAACATATGCCCAATCCCAAAAACGCGAGGGCCGAGGCAAAATACAGGCTCCTCGAGACTTCGGGGAGGGAGATTTTGGGGCAGGGTTTTACCAGGGCGACGACGACGAACGCAAAACATACCCCGAAATCTGTGGCCGATCTTCGAATGCTCGGTGAATCCGCGATTTTGGGATTGGGGATGTGTTTTTTCGTGGTCACACAGGGGGCTCCATGTCGGGCCCTAGCGGAGGTGCTCACGCGGCGTCCTCCCCGCTCATCTCGACGCACCCGTCGTGCGGATCTTCTCATAGGAAGCTCGACTGATGACTCGAGTGGACGTGCTCGCATGGCGTCGCCCCGCCCATTTCGATGCGCCCGGCACGCTGATCGTGCTCGACAGGGAGCTTCACCTATGGCCCCAGCGGAGTGCTGACATGGCGTCCCCTTTTTTCGACACCCCTCGCGCGGATCGTAACCGATTTGGAGCTTCGCCGATGGCCCCGGTGGATGTGTTCACATGGCGTCCTCGCATTTTTTGGGCAGATTCTCGACGCGGACCCTGCCTTCATAGGAGGATCCACTAAAGACCTTGGTCGAGGTGCTCGCATGGCTTTCCCCTGCCTATTTCGGCGCACCCGTCACACGCATCGTGCTCAATAAGGGGGCTTCACCTTTGGCCATGCTGCGTCATTTCCTGCGTCTTTTCCTGATCCTCCTCCTCCTCCTCCTCTTTTCCTCCGCTCCGAGCGGCCAGGCGCGACAGCTTGAGCAGGGCCTGGAGAGCACGAGGAGGGGGAGGACAGGATACTACTGAGGCATGGGTACAGGGAGGAGGGGGAGACAGGAGGAGCCAAGAGAAAAAAGGAGGGATGAAGAGAGGTTGAACACCGCGTTCGTGAAACCACCGCCTCTTACGCAAATGGGTATCCCCCTCTTCCTCCCCCTCCTCCTCGTGTTCCTCCCTCTTCCTCTTCCTCCTCGTGTCCGAGCAGCTTTGGGCGAGGTGACGGGGGAGATTGACACCGGTTTTCTGGACACGCACGAGAGGCTGCTGCGCTGGTCCCAGGGATCACAGCTGGACGTCAGGCAGCGGGGCGAGGACGAGGAAGGGAGATGACGCGACCATGAGGTAGGTCGAACTTTGAAATTCGAGATTCTGGAGTCTTTTTCCCGGAAAGGGCGGGGGCCCAGGGTTTTCTTTTAGTTGGTTTACCCCCGGTTTTGATTTGAAGGAGGCGGGCGGATTTCTGCTCGATAAAAAACGAGGTAAAGTCCAATTCGGCGTGAAACAAATGCGTTTCGCGCGTGCCCGCTCGAGGAAAGTCGACCCCCCACCTCGGATCCTCGATAGATAACGGGGTCCGCGGACCCCAGTTTTCCTTGGTTCCAAAAAAAGTGCGGGGCATTCTTAGCAGAATCGTAGAAAAAAAAGCCGAGGTCTGGAGCCCCGACCGCGACGCGGAAAAGCGTTCCGCGCGCAGGAGTTCCGAGGATGTCTCGCGCGTGCCGCGTCCCGCGCGCAGGAATTTCCAGGATGTCTCGACGAATTCGCTTGTTTTTCCCGGAAAGGGCGGGGGCCCAGGGTTCTCTTTTAGTGTGTTTACCATCGGTTCTGGCGGCTGTAGGGCCAGCGAAAGATCGGGGCCCTGGGGGCTCGGACGCAGCGTGATTTACTAGGGATCGTGGCCTTGGGAGCGCGGACGCAGCGTAATTTACAAGGGGTCGGGGCCCTGGGAGCGCGACCCCAATGTAATTTGCAAGGGATCGTGGCCCTGGGAGCGCGGACGCAGCGTAATTTACAAGGGATCGTCGCCCAGGGAGCGCGTCTCGTGGCACGTTCATTGGCACGTTCCGTAGCGCGTCCCGCGGTGCGTCCCCGTGGCACGTCCCCTGGCACGTCGCTTGGCGCGTCCCTTGGGACGTTCCGCGGCGCGTCCTCCTGGCATGTTCCCCTGTCAATTAGCTCTGGGGCAGCTACTGTGTGCTGAGGTAGCTCGAGCTTACGATCCAGATCAGTTCGGTCAGGACTGGGATGCAAAGGACGACTCGATCCACAACGCTATCGAGCACAATCGCGGCATGGCACATCGCAGTTCAGCACAGCGCAGCACAGCACAGCCCTCGGCACGGTACATCAAGATCGAAACACTCAGCATTGCATTTGCCCGTCGCCCACCAATCAGGTGTCGTTGAAACGTTGCCATGCCTTACATGTCTATATTCCTTTCCGGGTTCGTGGGCCGATCATGTTCTATAGTTGGAGGTCTTCGCGGGGCTTCTCGTCGCCATGGCTGCCTCTTCGAAATGTTAGTCAGCACTCGCCCTTTGGACAGGTCCTGGGGCGGATTCTCGAAGCGAGGAGGGGGCGAGGACTCAGATCCCCTCGCGTCGTGGCAGAAGTCACGACGTCATGTTTTTGACTGTCATCAGCCTCCCAGGGTCCCTGCCAGGCCCCGGGGCCCTCAGAGACACGACTCGGGGGATCAACCCGTCTGGGCTGCGAGGGTCGAGACCCCGGGGGGTCCACACTGTGAGGGGACCGCGACGCCGGGGGTCTGGGAAGAGGGGGGAGCATTCCCTCGAAAATGAAGGGGGGCTCTTGGTCCCTGGATGTCTCCTGCGGTGCTTTCGCCGCGCGACGGTTCACCCTCCAGGGCACGCGAGCCGACGAGGAGGCAGAGGACCGTCGTCAACCCAGCACGCGCCACGGATGCAGTCATGTGCCATCCCGTCCCGAGTCCGCTATTCATACGCGATCACAGGTTGCGCTTTTGGCTTTGACGAGCGCCCGTTGGAAAAACTAGGCACGTACCCGTGGACCTACACGGTGAGCGTCCGTTGTGTATCCAAATGCGTATCAACATTCATACTCGTTGGCTGCTCTGCGGTTGATCGGGAGTGTCGGACTGTATAGAAATGAGGAGTGCGTCTTTTGCGTGACCCAGTCGACGACGACGGCGGTGAGGATGACGAGGACTGCGTGGGGAGGGGGAGGGTTGAAGGAGCCGGGAAGCGCACTCTTGGCTCCTCTCTAGGGACCAATTTCCCCCTGGCATGTCGCGCGGCGCGTTCCTCGGCACGTACCCTGGCGCGTTCCTTGGCACGTTCCGCGGCGCGTCCTGCAGGCATGCCGCTCAGCGCGCCCCCTGGCACGTCCCCTGGCGCGTTCCCTGGCACGTCGCTGTGCGCGTCCCCTGGCGCGTCCCCTGGACCCCCCCCACCCTTGGGACGTCACCTGACGCGTCCGCCAGCGCGTCCTCGGCACGTCCTCTGGCGTTCCCCTGGCGCGCCCCCTTGGCGTGTCCCGCGGTGGCGTCTTCCCCGGCACGTCGCGTGGCACGCCCCATGGCGCGTCCCGCGGCAAGTCCCCTGGCCCGCGGCGCATCCCTTGCGACATCCCCTGGCGTGACGTCCCCTGACACGCCCCTTGGCACGCCCCCTCACTCCCGTGGCATGTTCCCTTGCTCGTCCTCTGCCAGGTTCCTCGGCTCGTCCCCTGGCGCTTCCTCTGCCAGTCCCGTGGCGCGTCCCTTGCCACATCTCTTGGCGCGTCCGTTGCCACGTCCCTTGGGGCGTGGCACGATGCATCACGATCGATCCACTCAGCATTGCAATTGCCCGTTGCCCAGTCAGATGTCTTAAAATCGTTGCCATGACTTTAATGCCTGAATTCCTTTCCGGGTTTGTGGGTCGATCATGTTTCGAAGAACCGCTGGGGGCGTCCAAGATGGCTCGAGAGGGCTCCAAGAGCGTGGCCAGACGGCCCAAGATGGCCGTAGAAAACCTCGAGGGTGGCCCCAGAGGCCTCCAAGATGTTCCAAGGTGGCCCGAGAGGCCCCAACAGTGCCACGAGAGGCCACCTCCAAGAGGCTGGAATAGAAGTCTTAGACAAGTCTTATCGGGGGAGCGTAAGACCCGGGTTTGCCAGGACTCGGGTTCGCCATCGTTTTTTGACGACCGCGACTCGGATTTTGACGAGGAGGAGTTTTGTGGGATGTCTGCAGCGGGAGGCCTCGTCAAAATGCAGGCTCGGCCTCGTCATTTTTTTGACGACCTCGTCGGGGATTTCCGAGTCCCCCGTACCCGGGTCTTACGTCTCCCCGATCTTAGACTGCAGACATCGTCAAATTCCCTTGGGTGTTTGAAGGCTGCCAGCTTCGAGGAGGGCTTCAGAAGGTGTCGGGCCGGCCCTGGAAGACCCCAGCGACGGACCCAGTTGGCCCAAGATGGCTTCAAGATGGCTCCAGCAGGAGGAGGAGGAGGAGGAGGAGGAGGAGGAGGAGGAGGAGGAGGAGGGGGAGGAGGAGGAGGAGGAGGAGGGGGAGGAGGAGGAGAAGGATGAGGAGGATGAGGAGGAGGACAAGGAGCAGGAGGGTAACAACCGCAGGTGGAGGAGAAGGAGGAGGCAAAAGACCTCAGGAGGAGGAGGAGGAGGAGGACCGCAGGAGGAGAAGCGAAGGAATGAGACCGCAGGAGGAAGCGGAGGAATAAGACTGCATGAGGAGGAGGTTGGTGAGGGCGACAACGACGGTGCCAAATGTACACTGGCTCCCACAACGCAAAAGACGACGACCACGACGTGACTGCATCGACGACTCCCAAATTCTTGCGAAACCTGTCCCCCGACCCCTCCGACGTCCACCCTGGGCAGCTTTCCATCCCGGATCGATTCCTTCTGGCCCCAGGGCCCAGCATTGACCTCCAGGTCGTTGAGAACGGCCGAAAAGTCTTTGGACCTCGGAGGTCGTACCTCGAAGGTCTTCCTCGGCGGTGGCAGCGACGGCGGTGGCGACCGCGAAGGCGCGCCGACGCCTTCGCGGAGTACGCGGCGGCGACCTGGGCGGCCCTGGGCGCCGCTGGTGCGGGGGAGCCGGCAGGAGCCAGCCGAGGGCTCCACCCGAAGACGAACGATTAGTTACCTTCTAGGTCCGACCTTCGAGGTCCGAGCAGGTTCTCAAGATGTTCGGCTGCTGGATGCCAGCTTCGGGCCACGAGGCCGCCAGAATTCGATCAAACTCTGGGCGGGCATGCCCCGGGGGGTCGGGGAGGCGCTGTCCGCCGAAGGGCACGCACGGCATCGACGCACGTTTCCGGAAAGCCGTGCGGGTATCCTGGGTCAGCGCAGGCTCCTCCGCCGCCTCTTCCGCCACCTCCGCCTCCGCCTCCACCTCCGCCTCTTCGAGCTCCGTAGCCATGTTGGCTCAAGTCCGTAGCGTTGGCTCAGCGGCGTTTTTTTTGGGGGGGGCGCAGGGGAAAGGCGGCCCTTACAGTTTTCACGGTGGCAACACCACCAAATCCTATTTGCTTCTGTTTCGCGGTTTCAGGCCGCATGCTTCTGTTTCGCGGTTTCAGGCCGCATGTTCCCCTCGAAGTACGACGCAGCCATGGGTGCTTATCGTCGTGGCCAGCCCAGCTTGCGGGATGAGAAGGGTGACCCGAGGCAGTGGCACCACGTGGGAGGCAGTGCTGACGCATCCAGCAAAGTACCATGCACCGATTGCGGCTACAAGAAGAACCTTCCCCACGCCTGGTTCTGCGAGCGTTGCCTCCTGCCCTTCGCTCTCGTGGAGCCGAAGCAGCAGCCTCTAGCAGGGGGGTGCTGGGCGGACCTGCCTGCGCTCTTATCGCTGCCCGCGCGCGGAGAGGCTCAGCCAGGGGGCGAGGGCGGCAAGCAGGGGCCCAAGGGCTCCAAGGGCAAGGGCCAGGGAGGGAAGTAATGGCCTCTGCTGGGGCATGGCTGCTGAGATGGGGCAGCTCGGCGCCAAGCCCCCCGGTCCATTCTTCCCAGATGCTCAACGTCCACAAGCGGTGCGGATGCCTGGACTTCAACATCATGAGTCTGGCTGGCTGGGCCTGCGCGGAGGCAGAGCGCTGGGGGGGGTGGACAAGGTATAGACAGGATGACATTCCCATTCTCCAGAGCTCGCTTTCTATGTTCAAGTAGCTTAAGGGCTCACAGCAGGAGTTTCATTGCATGTCATACATCTAGGAGTTGCAAGCGGCTGTCCCGGAGTCTCCCACGGTTGGCGCGACGCAACACGCCATGCCAGAGACCAAGAATGTGCTCGGCAGGGTGGTCAGGGCAGCCGAGCTGCTGGATGAGCAGCTGTAGAAGGCCGAGGAGGAGGCGGTGTCAGCGCTCGCGGGACATGAGGTGCGCAAGGCTAAGTATCATAAGGCGGCGCAGGAGTTGGCGGCCCAAATACCGACGCCTGCCCAGTTCGAAGCACGACCTCAGCTTGGAGAAGCTGCTGGATGAGAATACCAACTTCGAAACATTCGACGACGGGGGTCTCTTCGGGCCGGGGGCAGAGGGGGTCGAGATCTCGGGCGTTGAGGGAGAGGAGGTCGCGAGGCGCAAGGCCGAGGCCGAACGGGCTATCAAGCGCGCGGTGTTGGGCCCGTTCGGCGCGGTCAAGGCCCGGGCCGAGCAGCCGGTGAAAGGGCAGCGCGCGCTTCGCCGACGGCTTGAGGGCCAGGGGCGCGACGTGGACCCAACGCCTACTCCTGCGGGCGTGCCAGGTGGCGACGACGCTGGCTCCAGCTCAGCGGGGGCTGCGCCTGCTATCCAGCAGACGCCTCGTGCGCCCTCGGCGCGGGGGGGCCCTGGGCGCGCCGGTGGATGGAGATGAGCTCGGGTTGGGTTCAGGAGTTTCGCGGGGTGATGCATTCCAGCGGGCGTCTCGCATTGCCCGCTGGAGCGTGGCGAGTGCGCCAGCGTCGTCTGTTTAGGCTTTCGTCGAGTGGTCTGTCGGCCACATGGTCCTCGGGGGTTTCGTCTACTCCAATTTGGACGCCGGACTCGCCCACCCCGGCAGCAAGGCAGGAAGAGAGCGCGCCATGGGCGACGCTGCGCTCGCTTCCCCCGGCAGCAGGGCAGAAAAAGAAGGCGCGGCGGACGGCGCCGCGCTCGCCCCCCGCGTCGACAGGGTAGGAAGCGGGCGCAACGCGGGCGATGCTGCGCTCATCCGCCCAGGGCGCAGGGCAGGCAAAGAGGGCAAAATGGATTGGGATATCCTCGTCTACTCCATGGGCTTCCTGGGCTCAGTCTTCAGAGTCTTCGGCTTGGGACGTCAGCGCATCCAAGGGTGCGGCGTTCCCGTCTCCGGCATCCTCAGGGAGCGCGGCTCCTTCTGCGGGCAGGTTCGACGTCTCCCTCCTGGGCCGCGGCATCGCGAGTGACGGGCGCGCGCTCGCCTGCGCCGACGTAGGGAGTCAGCGAGCATGTCAGGGCGCAAACCCAGGGGGTGGCTCGTGCGACCCGCTGTTTGTATGACTACAACGAGGCTTTATTCGTTGAGTGTCCTCGCCATCGGGACGCTATTGATCATCAGTTTATTCATCATGCTTGCCCATCGTATTCTTTATGTCCCACTGTTGTCTTCCATCGTCTTCCCCCTCCACATCCCCCCCCTTCCCCGCCCCCCTCCCGCGCCGAGGCTTTGGCTCGCGTCAAACGACGTTTCAGCCCAAATGGGGAACCCTGAAAAGGCCGCGTGGTGGTGGCAATCAAGAACGCAGTATGGGGGCAGGTTTACAGCGCTGGAATCCAGGCATCCGCTGCCCACAAAAAGAAGTGCGTCGACGAGCTGAGTCTCCGCGCGATGTCTATCGGTTCTTCGTGCAAATGCACGTTATCCGTGGTCGGGCAGACAAGCCGCCGGCAGAAGTAGAACGGACCGCGTTCCTGTATCTTGCAAGCCTGGGCGCAGCGAAGGGGCCCCATAACTTTTTGTTGATTTCATTGGGGCCAACACAACTCTAACGCAATGGCGCCAATCAGAAATTATACTGTTGATACGCCAGAGAAATGGATGGGACCTGCAGGAAGCGCGGATGACCCCCCCCTGATCTCAAATGCGCGGGCGGGGACCTTTTGCGCGCGTGGATGGACCTCGCGAAGTTCATCAAGGAGGGCGACCAGCTGAGCAGAGATTCCAAACACATCGCTTTGAAGTTCAATGGGGGGGGGGGGGCGCCGCCGAGCCAAAAGGCGAAGCGCCGTTTCGACGGGGGCCAGCCGAGGGGTCGGAAGCACGTGGACTTCGAGCCGCGCTCCGCGGAGCTTCGCAAGGCTTGCGAGCGGTTGCAGAATGCTGCTTGTCAGATAAAGGCTTACGTGAGCCACAAGCAGCATCGCGTCGACATTGTGGCAGCCATGCGCCAGAACGCGAGGTCGCGCCAGAAACCACTTGCAGGCCGCGACGCAAAGTCCACGGCCGGCGATCTGCTTTCACGATGCACGGCGCCCGCAACATTCTTCTATTACCACGGCGCCCCCGTGTGCAGGATGAGAATGGGCTTGTCGTGCCAGTATGGAACCATTCCACATGGCGCAGTTGTGTTCCAGCTGAAAGCATGCAGCGCTGACGCGTTCGCCTCGACCCGCCAGCGTTGCGAGTTCACGTTGGACCTGTTCACGTTCGGCAAGGTGGTTTCATTGCACATGAAGAAAAGGGCGCCAGAAGGTATGTCGAAGCTTTCGCCGGCGTCTTGCCACGCCCGCGACATGGCACCCCTACGGCGGCAGCTTGAGCCAGGGCATTGAAGATGCCCAGTTTGAAGTCAGTAGAAGAGCGGCAGCCCCCCGAGGGGGCGAGGAGGAGTAGCAAGCGCAAGCGCAGCAGTGCCGCCGCGCCTGCAAAGCGCCAAAGGCGCTAGCTGGATGCCAAAGGCTTAGACCTCAATCTCTGTAGTTGAACGCAAATGTTGTTTCGGTGGCACATCTCTGCGTGGACGGTGGCCGCGTGGAAAAAACAAGCGGCCTGATGCGTTTTTCTATATTATCGCATGTGGTTTTCGGCCAATTCCGCCGCCCCGCCTTAGTGTCGGGCCATTTGGGGTAACAGTTGGTTTTGTCTTTGGGGGGTTACATAATTACTTTGGTTGTTGGAATTTTCAAGTTGATTTCGTTCGAGGGTGGTTGCGCTTTGATTTTTGATCCTGGGATTCCCCAGGGACTGCGGCCTTCAAAATCAATGTGTACTTCATGTACACACTGATTTTGGTTGCAGGGACTTCCAGAAGCAGCGGCACTCAACATCAATGTGTAATCAATTTGCCAATTGATTTGGGTTGTGGTGATTTCCAGAGGCAGCGCCTTGGGCCGCGGACGCTCACCAAGAAAAGAGGACAAACATGAAACACATGAGCAAATATGCTTTGACATGGGAAAATAAGGCAAACCAGAGAAAACCGGTGATTGTCTACATTTTTATGGATAAAACGAATAGAAACGGCGACAGCCACAAGTTTTCTTTGGTTTTCATATTTTTCCAAGTGGAAGCATTTTTTTTGGGGGGGGGTAAGCGTCCGCGGCCCAATGCGCTGCCTTTGGAATTCCCCGCGTTTAAAATCAATGTGTAAATGGATTGCGCGTGGATTTTGATTGTCGTTGCCTCTGGAAGTCCCCACGACCAAAACCAATGTGTAACCCATTTGCAGATTGATTTTGGTTGCGGGGGACTCCAGAGGCAGAGCCTTCGTTCGGACCGCGGAAACTTACCACGAAGACGACACCGCACTAGAAACAATACAAACATACATTTCACATGGAAAGTATGACAAACGGAAGAAAAACCTGTGACTGCCGCCACTTTTAGTAATAAAACACATACGAATGGCGACAGCCACAGGCTTTCTTTGGTTATATATATATATATCCATTAAAAACATACATTGTCATGTTCTTCCTGTTTTTTATGTATAAAAAATCATGGTAAGGTTCCGCGGCCCAAGCACTGCCTCTGGAATTCCCCACAATCAACGTCAATTTATACATTGCTTACACATTGATTTCGGTTGTCGCTGCCGTGTGTAATCCGTTTTCACATTGACTTTGGTTGTGGGGAATTCCAGAGGCAGTGCTTGGGCCGCGGAAGCTTACGAGGAAAACAAGGAAAACAGGAAAAACAGGACAAGTCTTTTGTTTCCGCATGTAAAAACATAACAAAACAAGAGAACATGTAAAAACATAACAAAACAAGAGAACATGACGGTTACAGGTTGTCTTTGGTTTGTCTTATTTTCCATGTGAAAACAGAAGTGTTTTATTGTTTTTCACGTTTTCGCTTTCCTGGTAAGCTTCCACGGTCCGAAGGTTCTGCGCCTGGAATCCCCACAATCGCAATCAATGTGTGCGTGGATTACACATTGATTTTGATTGTCGCTGCCTCTGGAAATCCCCCCAAGTCGCTGCCTCTGGCAAACTTGTAGAAGCAAAATCAAGCTGTATATTGAATTCAACTTGATTTTTGATGTGGGAATGTCGAATTTCATGTGATTTTGGTGCCGGTCAGAGGGAGGATGAAAACATTAAATGTCGTTGTAAAATTCAAGAACAATCACCTGGTTGTAATCGCACAAACGGCGGGTCCTACGGGGGTGGCTCCCCTGGTTCAGTCGCGCGTCTGCGGGTTCGAGCGTTGCCGTTCGGCTCGCCCCGGTGGAGGGGCCGACTATGTTGCGCTCGGCGTTGGATCGCAAGTCCCGTTGTCGCGTCCGGGCTCTGACCGATGTTTTGCTGCGAATCCTGGAGATGGCCTCCCAGGTTCTGTCGCGGTTCTGCCTGGTGATTCGAGTGGCCTGCCTCCTGCGACCGCGGCCTCTCCCGCGGCCGTGGGCCGCCGCCCTGGCGCGCCACTGCGCCTGGGGCGGCCCGCGGGCGCCGCGAGCCCTGGGCCTAGCGCGCGGCGCGGCGGCAAGGGCGCTCTTCCCA